GGTTTGCGGCCCCTCTCCCTCCTCCCCCAGTGCCCTCCCGGGGTCCTGGCCGCTGCCGAAGCCCACAGCGGGTACCCCAGCCCTGAGATGGGGCAGGGACCCTCCGCTCCCCGCAGCGTCAGTGGGGCAGAGGCATTTCAAGAAGGCGAGTGGGATGCACCCAGGGTGGCCTACATAGGTATTGGGTGACAGCAGAGCTGGCAACAGGGCTCGAAACGTCCTGATTTCGTGCTGTTAAAGCAGTTACCTAAATAATAACCAGCTAATCCTGAGCATGGGGCCTCCAGCCCAGGAAATTGGCATTAACCTAACAAGAGCCGTGTGGAGAGGCTCCTTCCCGCCACCTCGCCGGCCGGGGTGGCTGTCCCTCGCCGGACGCCTTTCTTTAGTAACTTGTCTTCCACCAGCGATCCAATTAATGCTGGCTATAAGTAGGAAAGCCTGTATAAATGCCGGGCGTTCAAAAGGCACCTGCTCTTGCACAAGTGTGCCAGCATAATTAAGCTAACAGTGTAATCGCTGGCTTGTCCCTCTCTGGGAGGCTTTGGGGTTTTATTTCAAAGTGGGGATCTTGCCAGAGCATGCTTGCTGTGTTTTTATTCTTATTGCAGCGTTTTTAAGAGGCATGACTTGCTTGAGATTTCAGATCTTTTAGCTGAGTTTTAGTTTTTGAGAGATGGTGTTGCTACCAAAATGTTGACTTTATGACTTTTCACTTTATTTTTCCCCAAGCAGGATTGCTAAGGCCTCCTAAATCCAATGTGTCAAAGGACGAAGCAGTGAGGAGGAGGCGATATGTGCATTATTAGGTGCATATAATACCTGAGCATATGCAAGGCTGGCTGTAACCCGTGACGAGGTAGCCAGCATTGTGTGTGGAGGTGGGGATGGAGCACGGATACAGGCACAGTGCTAGTACAGGGCTGGGAAAAGACACCCCGGCCAAAGCCAGGGAGCCAGGCTGCTGCAGCGAAGCGCCCAGGCTGCCTGGCAGCCTCTAGATGTGGGAAGGTGGGCTCTGGCTTGGATGGTGGCCTCGGGGTGCAAATAAACCAAGAATTTGGGCTCTGAATCCTGAAATAGGTTTAATCTGGGCTGAAAGCCCCTTGGAGCAGAAATTTGTCGATGAAGCGTTAGCGCTCACCGTTTTCTAGATAAAGCCCAGAGTGTGTGAAATGGTCCAAGTCACCCCTGGTCCCACGGAGACTCCTGTAACCTGCCAAGCAGGCTGCCAGTCATGTGCTCCTTTTTGCCTCCCATCTCTCCTTTTTAAATGTCGCTCGGAAGTCCGGCGCACTCTAGGGGTGCTCCCTGTTGGCAGAGCTCTCTGTGCCTGAATGGATTTGCTGACTCCTGGGCACTGCCCGCATCCCTTACAGGCTGCTGGATGGTCCGTGCCATGGTTTGGAAATAGAGACGTGCTGGGAAGCACCTTGCAAGCCGTGGGGGAGTGGCTTGTGAAAGCTAAGGTGTGTTAGTGTTATTGCCAAATACTGGGTTTTAAAGTAAGTCAGATGTTAAGGGTACCGGTAAGTCACCGAGTGGGAAGAAGCCTGTCAAAGACAGGATGGGACCGAACTCATGCTGATAGCACAGCTGGCTCCTGAGTCATGCCTGATCCACCTTTGGAAGACGGTTTGAGCGAACCCAAGCTGGCTCCAGTGTAGGAATGGCTGAGTTATGCCATCCACACCCTCCAAGTTACGTTCGTTGGCTCGTCTTTAATGAGAGATTGTAAGAGATTATCTTTTCCCTTATTACCTGTTGCTCAGGTTTTTGGTGGGTTGAAAGTCTAATTAACCTTCCTGCAGGCATGCTTTTGTAATTTTTTTCTGTTTTATCTGTGTGCTGGAGCTCCTCTTAGCATCTTTTTATGGCTTGGCATCATGGCTTAGGCGTCCACAGTGTTATCTGAGGTTTCGCTGGATGGGTTCCTTGTGAAAGGAATGGAGTTTGGGTAGCAAATAATAGAATAAACAGGGGGTTGTTCTAACATGAAGCGAGCAGGGATTGCCACAGGACGACTGATGAGGCTATTGGGTAAGGCCAAAACTATTTCTCAGTTTGCATTGTTTTTCTGAAGCATCTGGATGTCTTGATTAGAAACATTATGGAAGTATTCTACTAAAAGTTCTCCCAGTAGAACTGAATAGTCCTATATAAAAGAAAAAAAATCATGCCCCAGTAGCAACATAAATCTATAAAACACAGAACTGCCACCAGCGCATAGAAAAGCTTCTTGCCTCGGTGGGGCCAGCCTTCCCAGAAGATGATGCTCTGCTTGGCTGACTGCTAAGCAAATTAAACCAGGAGTTCACAAGCAGGCTGAGGACGTTTCCATCCCTAAAGTAAAGCTGGGGCTAAAAAAAAAAAAGCTGGCACAGGTCCGTGCGCAGCTCAGTGCATTGCCGTATCTCTCAGGTAGGAGCTGCTGGGGTGGGTTTTCATCTGTGGAGACTGCCTGCTTGCTTCGGTAGGGTTTGGGCTGTTGGGGAGGAAACAGAGCTACAGGGTCACACAGAAACATGGTCACGGAGGTGGGACCTCTGGAGACCATCCAGTCCAACCCCTGCTCGAGCAGGGTCAGCCGGAGCAGGTTGCCCAGGACCATGTCTGGTCAAGTTTTGAGTGTCTCCAAGAATGGAGACTCCACAACCTCTTGGGGCAACCTGTGCCAGTGTTCACCTACCCTCACAGCAGAATGTATTTTTTCTTATGATTAAAGAGAATTTCCTATATTTCAATGTGTTTCCTATCATGGAGCACCACTGAGAAGGGTCTGGTTCTGTCTCCTTCACTTCTTCCCATCAGGTGCTTAAACACATGGATAAGATGCCCCCTGAGCCTTCTCTTCCCTGGGCTAACCAGTCCCAGCTCCCTCAGCAGATGTGGTGCGTGTTTTGTCTGAAATACAACCATGCCCAATGGCACTGCCTTTGAGAAGATGGGTTGGAGCTGCTGCTTTCGCCGAGAGGCTTTGCACGCAGCCGTCCCCTTGCCCGCTGCTGAAGACGTACCCCTCTGTGCACAAAGTCCCTGCGGGGACAGACCGTGCTGCTGGGATCTTGGCACAGCTGCAGGGTTAGCTGGGCAGAGAGAAAATACCCTTCGGAGCCGCCAGGATTTTTGAGTCTTAGTTAATTAGTACTGTTCCTGCGTTAAGCTGAGAGAGGCTGGGGGGGCTTGCACAGCGTTTGGTGGTGGGAAGGGGTGATGGGGAGCAGGGCAGGGGGCTGTGGGAGCAATGAGGAGATGCCGCCTTTCATCCTCGCAGATGTGTGCTCACAGTTCTCCATCCTAGCTGATATTATTTATATCTGGTGTCTTTAGCAAATTTGTGTGTCTGATGTCTTTTCGCAGCAGCACTGCCTGGTTTGAACCATGGCTTGCATGGTCAGGATGTTTGCTAAGGTGAAAAACTATGTCATCTCACTCCTCCTCTTCCTCCCCTCTGCCAGGGAGGACGTGGGGCTGCGAGAGCGGATGCCCCAGCAATGGGGGGTTTACCCTGGGAAGGTAAAAGGAAGCCGCATGGTGCTGCGGCTGCTGCTGCTGCCTCTCCTCTCGCCCTCTCTGCAGTAACAACAACCCCTACGCCTCCTTCGGAGCCACGCTGGCGCGGGACGAGGAGCAGAACCTGTGGAGCACCCCGCACGACGTGACCCACACCGAGGCGGACGACGACCGGGTGCTGTACAACATGATCGTGGTCAGGAACCAGCTGGACAAGGACTCGGAGGTGAGGCGGTGCCAGCCCTTGTGCTTGGTTTCACCGCGGACCGAGGCTCGGTGCTTTCGTCGGATGCTTTCGCAGTGCCTTTATTTAAGCGCCCATTAAGCCGCTGTAAAGACCCCGCAGTCCCCCAGTGTGGCTGCGCGGGCATCAGGTCCTCCTGTCCGCTCCATCACCCTGCAGATTTTAGCCTGTATCTGGTGTGGATGCATCTGTAGCCATCGCATCCCTGGGAAGCTCAGGGACGTCTCCGGCAGCTGAGGCCGGAGAGCCACCCTGAGCTAGGATGCACAACGCCCTGCAAGCACCCCAAACGTGTACTGGCAGCACTGGGATTCCCAGCTCAATTTCCAAGCTTCACGGGCCACTTTTTTTGTCCGATACTCCCCTGGTTTGGCCTTTCCGTGGTCAGACTGGCGTTAGCCCTGCCTGCAGTGGCGTTCGCCCGGCAGTGGCAGCGCCCGGAGCTGAGCTGCCGCTCCAGCGACACGCCAAGTTAAACACTCCTCTAATGGGTAATATGGCAATTACCGAGAAGCGGAGAACTGGCACTGCTCTTAGCGCAGAGGGGAAAAATCATCGCTGTTACATAAAGGCTGTTTTGCAGCCCTGATTTCCTTCGCTAAAGCACTTCTGCGCAAAGGAGATTTCAGTGGCCTCATTAGGAGCAGGCTGTAGCAAAGAGTGACACATTTTTCCCTGTCTGGTTGCTTTTAAGACTTCAAAACGTTTGCAGGAAAGCCTGGAGGCTTAACCTTTAATTTCAACATGATGCCACTTGATCCAAGAGACCGCAAGACTGTAACTCTTCCCCCTGTGACAGTCCCCTGAAACCAAAAGCTAGATCAGCTTTCACGAGAAGCCTTAAAATGCAGAGGTACAGCTGAGATGAAAATTACATTTTTTAAAACTTAAAATGAGCTAATGTAATCCTTGTATACATTTAGCCAAAAACTCCATTTAATTTAACCTAATTTATTTTAATTTTTGGTGGGGATTGAATTAATTGTGGTGTTTACAATAGATGGTTTTGTAACAACGTTTTCATGGCTGCAACATAACCTTTACAGCTATCGCAGCTATAACTGAAGATAGACTGTTCCCTCCCCACCACTGCTTTCTCTACCTCGCAATTGCTTGTCTGAGAGAAGACAGGGAGCTTTAACCAGCCCAAACTGGCTGAAGGAAACAAAAACAACTCCATTTAGGGGGCTGTGCCAGTCCCGAGTTGTAGCAAAGCTGGGCGTACTTCAGAGCAGTGCTGAAGCTCCTCGTTTCAGCCCACACCTAGTCGAGCAGCCGTTTAACTTAATTTAGGGCTCATTACGAGGCAGGCCTCCTAAAACCTATTGCTATTTGTAAAACAGTATTGTAAGTGGACGGGCTGCTAAAAAGATGTCTCCCTGGGCAAAAGAGAGTGGTGTGTCAGCCTTGCTCAGGCTGCAGAGGAGAGCATCAGTCAAGATGCGCCTCCGTGCCCTAACCCCAGTGTGCCCGCTCGTCTGAGCTCCAGCGCTGTCTCCCTGCCCTCAGCGTAGCTGTAGGGTTTTCAGCGGGTCCGAGCACTTCCCGCCCCTGCCAGTGAAAAAGGGAAGTACGAAGGGTATGGGGCTTCCTCTCTGCAACAAATGCGAGATCACATACCTTGTTTTTTTTATGCAATGCAATTAATAAAAAAGCCTGAGGAGTACAGCATCAGGCCGAGTTTGAAGAAAGCCAGCTCATGGTAGGCTGGATTTGAGTTCTGGCCCCGTGCCCTTTGCAGCTAGTGATTGCCAGCCTCAGCCGTCTCTCTTTTACAGCTGGGGAAACTGAGGCACGATATATAAGCCCAGCAAGCTGTCACAGTTTCCAGCTGCAGCTCCTTCTGGGTGGCAGGACAGGGAGGGACTTGGCTGGCAAAGTCAACATTCCTGCGTGCGGCCCCAGGTGCCAAAAGCTCTCCTTACTCCAGCGAGCATTTTAAAACTAGGCCAGATTGCGTTGCCCTCCCCTCCTAATGAGACTCCAGCCCTGAGAGAGAGAACAAAAGTCTAACTGCAAAACAGCAGTGGGCTGCAAAAGCCGCAGCAGATTTGCTCTGGGAGCTGCTGTGATCCCAAAGGCCCTGGGGAAAGCGTGTGGATGCTGCAGGGCAGGGGACGGAGGAACGGTTGCTTGTTCGCGCGGTGCACAAGCGTTATGAAACCATAGGTCCTTTTTTTTCCTCTTGGTTAAAATCGGGCTGAAAGGAGAACTACTCCCTGAATTTCTGCTCCTTCATTTCACAAAGAAATTTCAGCATGTGGCGCACTTACTGTATGCTTTGCCATTCTCCATCTTTGTGATTTCCTAGCACAGGACTTTGGAAGGATCCCAAAGATCAGGTCGCTCTGCATCATGTGTGTTTTATCTGTACGGCATCACCTTGGCCTCAAACCAGTATTGTGTTTTTCTTAATCTAGCTAACCCACATCTGCTTTCCCGGGCATTTTGGTTTTTTTTCAAATGGTTGTTCACATAGTGACGAGGTGCTGTGAGCTAGGACAGGAGGAGCGGTGGGCCAGGGTGCAGTGGCAACATCGGCATGGTGCGGGAGGTCAGTGGGCATGGTCCAGGATGGCTCTCGCCTGGCCTGGGCATCTCAGCATTGTGGATTGCTGTAAATCAATAAACCAAACTGTATAAGCAAAGGGCCAGGTGCTCCGACGCCAACTGCACCCTGTAGCTCAGCCGGTTTTCTGCACATTAGATCATCTGTGGTGCGGCTGCCAGCAACTCACAGCATTGGTATCTTCCCTCGGGGTCAGTTCCTTGCCCCTGCCATGGGGCTGGACCCAGACCCAATCCATGCAGAGCTGTTTCTTCTCCCTGTCCACTCCCAATGGTCCCACTCCAGGATATTTGGCAACTCCAGACCAAACTCAGTGTGACCTTAGCTTGCGTAAGGCTGGTAGGGCTTCTCCTCACCGAACCAGGGCAGCAAGCTCTTCAAAGCAAGCACCGTGACGTGCCGGGTGCGCCCTGTTCCACGCATACTTGCTCATCCTGCTGGATGCTGGGAGTGATGGCTCATGGGGCTGTTGGCCGTGATGGAGCCCGCTGGAGCACCCAGCGGTTGCCAAACCCACCATGCAATAGGTACATGAGGCAAGATTTGCTGGAGCCACCTAAAATTAGCATCTCTCCTACGAGGAAAGGCTGAGAGAGCTGGGCTTGTTCAGCCTGAAAAAGAGAAGGCTGCAAGGGGACCTTATAAATGCTTACAAATATCTCAAGGGTGGGTGTCAGGAGGATGGGGCCAGATGCTTTTCAGTAGCGCCCAGCGACAGGACAAGGGGCAACAGGCACAAACTGAAGCATAGGAGGTTCCAGCTGAACATGAGGAAGAACTTCTTCGCTCTGAGGGTGATGGAGCACTGGAACACGTTGCGCAGGGAGGCTGTGGAGTCTCCTACTCTGGAGATATCCAAGACCCGCCTGGACAAGGTCCTGTGCAGCCTGCTGTAGGTGACCCTGCTTTGGCAGGGGGGTTGGACTAGATGGTCCCCAGAGGTCCCTTCTAACCTCTACCATTCTGTGGTGATTCTGGAAAATCATAAGCATAGAGCAAATTGCAGCTTCACATTTCTCTCTGCTCCAGGCTGCTGAGCGCATTGTGCTTGGATGCACTTTCAGAAGCAAAGCGTGGGCAGGGCAGGGTGTGCGCGGAGAAAACCAGAAAAGCCGTAGCTGAAGGGCTGGCTTAGGGGGGCTGGTAAAGCTGATGCAGTCTTTGGAGATCAAAGCTGTCATCAAAGCTTTTGAAGGCTGGGGTCAACTTTTCAAATATGGAAAAGTGGTTTCTTTACTGCTTCTGCCCTGCAGCATTGTCAAACCTGTTGTGGTGTAAAGTGAAACCCCAAATCTGGCGGTGAAATGAGGATCTCTAGGAAAACAGGATGTTGTTGAAGACGCTGCATAGACACAGGCCAAGTCACTGTTCCAGCACGTACCCGGCTAGTGCAGAGGAAAGAGTTTTATGGGGAAGGGGGACTACGGTGGCTCCAGCAAGCCTCCAGCATCAACAGCAAGAGCTGGGCTTATTGGGCCTGTGTGCACGGTGTGGCAGATGCCCACCTCCACAAGGACTGGTTTGTGGTGGCCCTGGTGCCTCAGTGTCCCCTGACAGGGTGCATGGGGTTACCCGGCCGCGGGCTGTCAGACTGGTGCTGGCTTCGAGGAAGGACCTGGGTAGAGGGCAGCTGCACCATGGCTCTGTCAACAGAAACTAAAGGTGTTTTTTTCCGTGGTGACTGAGGGAGAACTCACCGTTCTCACGGCTTGTTGTAAATACACCGTTTCTTTCTTGTTTTGGCTTCCTCCCTTGCGGCAGGTGGGATCACAAACCCCACTAGCAAAGGTAATTCCTCTGCCTGCATCTCTGCTGGGGGCCTGGCTAGCAGAGCTGCGCTGGCACAGTCCTCCTGGCAAGCCCATTAATGAGCTGACAAGGCCTATTTTTCTGCTTCCTCTTGCTCTCCTACAGGATTATTCTTTTTTAAACAGGTTACAGAGAAGGTTGGTATTGCGACACGCTGATGCTGGGGCATACAGGGGTGATGGGATTTGCCCAGGGTCGGGGATGTCGGTCAGGGAGCCCAGAACTGACCACCTTAGCGCCTGCATGGCTCTCGTAAAACTGAATCCAATTTAAGCTTATTCTAAGCTGAGATGTCGGTCAACGGTTCAATGTATGGATCTAGAGTTTGTATTTATTCAACTGCTTCCAGTGGGGCCAGTCACAGAGCCAGAGGAGGAGTGTCCCTGGACGTGGCGTGGTACCTGCCTGGACTGGTCTTTTGCAGTCTCTCCCTGATAACTCTGTTTTGACTTCATTTCCAAAACAAGTCTTGAACAGAACAGTGACACCAGTTGCTTTCAAGGGAATAAAGGAGAAGGCTTTGGTAGAGAATTGCTTTGGCAACATGAGGAAAGCTGCCTACTGATTAGGAGATTTCCATATGAGCAGGGATGAGAAGTTGGACAGTGCTTGCCTGTTCTCTTGGCACATTTTTCCCCAGAGCTCTGGGTTATGTACCAACCTGGCTGGTTCATGCCCAGCATTTTCTCACTTCCATTTGGCATTTGCAGATTTAGTGTGTCACAGTAGAGAGCCCAGGGAAGTTTTCCAGGTAAATATTTGAAGGGCTGAGCACTCAGAGGAGAGAGGCGGTGGGGTTTCCCTGCTGCTCCCGGGATATTCTTGACTCACACGCAACAGGTTTTCTCAAGCCCCGACTGGTCCATGTTGTGCCCTGCTACGTGGGTTTAAAAGGGCAAAACTCATTGCAAAAAGCAGGGCCAGGAGTTGCAACCTGCTTTGGTTTCCTGCAGTTCATTCAGATTTTGGCAAAAGGGTATTTTTCTGAAAGGACTGGTTTTGAATGCATCACTGGGATGTCCCAGACCTGTAGAAACACCGAGGGGTTTGGTGAAGAGCAGACTCCAGCTGTCCTTTCTCAGTACCGTGGGCGAGAAGCCTCCTCACTGCTCCAGAAGTTACATCTACCTACTCAGCCCGAGCTGCGGCGCAGAGGGCAGCCTGCTCCGGCCTCGCTCAGCCCGGGGCTGCCCTGTCCCACGTCTCGCCGGTGGCTTAGGACACTTC